TACTACATACTACTACTACATACTACTACTACATACTACTACTACATGCTACTACTACATGCTACTACTACATACTACTACTACATACTACTATTACTACTACTACTACTACTACTACTACTACTATATACTACTACTATATACTACTACTACTACTACGACGACGACTACTACTACTCCTACTATTCGATCAGTTTCTTCTTTTGGGGAATGTTTTTGGTTTGCTTTCCTGGTTCTGGTTCCCGAATCAGCGGCTTTGGTTGCCGAATCAGCGGTTTTGGTTACCGAATCAGCGGGTCATGGTTACCGAATCAGCGGGTCTTGGTTACCGAATCAGCGGTTTTGGTTACCGAATCAGACCGTTTGGTTACCGAATCAGACGTCGACCGCTTTGACCTGTCCGGGGCGGTACTGTAAGGGGGCGGAGTCCGGTCAGAGAGGATTGGATCCTGTGCGCGAGTCCGCAGGTTCCACCAAACCATGGAAGGTTCACATCCTCCAGTTGAGGAATCTCTGCATTTTCAGGGCTCAACCATGCAACCAGGCGGTTTTGACCCAGGGCATCATGTAACCTGATGCCACCGGGTGAAAACTCTTCGTTTGGCTCTTTGAGACGGTCAGGTGTGACTTTGGCGGCAGCGGTTGCCCTTTGCTATTTGGCACCAGCTCAGGTGCCACTTCGATCATCCTCACTCAAAGCATCTCATAGCATCTCATAGACCTATAATGACCTATACGTGGTAGAGTCCTTGGTGGAACAGGCTTTTGATTTGTTTGAGTTTGTGGAATTTCATGTGCGGACCTGACAGCAGGAGATTGGCAGTGTGGCAATGCCGTTGATGCGCTGCTTGAGACAGGCAAAGTTTGCAACGTCAAGTCTCAAGGGCCGAACATCCAAGAAGACCAGCATTTGTAAGCTTGATTCTGGATGTTGGATTCTTCGTTGTGAGGAGTTGACATATCAACAACCTTACAACCTGACCTCCCAGAAAAACCGAGTTCGCACCGCACCGAGTTCGCCTGAAGAGGCGACATCCGAAGCGTCCATCACGGTGCTTTCTGCTTTGGCCCCGTTGGTGGAGGTCAGATGCGAAACATCGAGCAGACTTGCCATACCACACAGATGTACTCGGAACGCAAGCAAGGACGCACCAAGACACACACAAGTTGAAGGCTATGCTTGTACGGGTTTGAATGACTACATTGTCACTGAACATGTTGAATAAAGGGGTTCACCTCGAAGCAAAGGAGTCAGGTACTGTTAGAGTCTGATCGTTAGTATAGTGTAGCTGCATGTGGCGAAGATGCGGGTTTCTTCTTCTTTGCATTGCTTGCACTACTTGTACTTGTTCAAATCATTTTTGAACATCATTCCAACCGTCCATGGGGCTCAGGCAGGAGGGAAAGGAAAGGAAAAGGGACAGCGAAAGACAAGGGAAAAGGAAAAGGAAAAGGGAAGGTAAAGAAGGAGGAAAGGCAAGGACATAAGTGAAATAAGTATGAAAGGTAAGGAGCAAAGTAGAGGATGATACGGACGGAGGGAGAAGGTAAGGAAGGAGAAAAAGGTGCAGACGGATAAAATAGCACTGTCAGTGTGCCAACCTCACCGTGTATATGTAACGAACCAGCCACGTTGTTTGTTCATTGCAAATTGTAGCTGCTTGCCTTGCACTCACAGTGTAGATGATGTTGGAAACGCCAGTAGCAAACGCCAGCAGTTTGTTTGATGATCCATTGCCAACCTCAAGGCATCGATAGCAACTGTCAGTGTGCCGCGCAGGCACGACCAGAGCTCTTTAGAGCAATGATCCGGGAGTTCTTCGTCCAGGCACTGTCCCGTGACTTCGAAGCTTGAGTTGCTGTGAGATGTATTTTTACAACCTCAGCATTCTCGAAGCATTCCCGTATTTTCCCATGGGTTGTTTCTTTCTCAAGACTTCTGGTGTCAGTCCTTCGATCCTCCAGAAATGAAGCGCTTGAAGTTGAAGGCGCGTCAGTGGTCATCGGGCAACAACTCGATGCCTTGTTCAGTCAGTGGTCATCGGTGATACCATGTGATACCATGCAGCTACCCGTCACATGACCATGCAGCTCGTCAAGGCCATTGAGATGCTGGTGGATGAGACAAATGTGCAGCTGGTCTTGCGAGAATTTCAAGCTGTGACCTCACTACCCATGTGCAGTCATTCATGCAGGGTGGAGGCCATAGCTAGTAGGGTCCACATTTCACTCTGGCCAGATGTGAGGTCTACGTGTCTTGGCACTCGCAGCCAGACTTCGTGGCACACGCAGTTAGGAGCATTGCACAAGTGGCATTGAAGATGCCTTCGGTGCGCCCGAGCCAAATCCACCATTTTGACATGTCAACTTGCATGAAGGCCAATGTTAAGTGTTGATCGATAGTTGATACAGTAATGGCCTGCTCAATAGTCAAATCATGTCAGAGTCAAAAGCTTACCCAGATGGTTTCCTTTACATTCTGCTCTTCCTGATTTCTTGTTGGGCACATGTTCTTGCAATGTATATATATATGGGAGTTGATCGAAAACCCTGTGTAGGGAGTTTTATATAAAACAGCCTTTCAGATGTTGTTAGAACCATCCGCAAAAGATTCGCGATGAGGTTCGCGAAAGTATCGCGTTTTTTCTGCGAAAGATTTATCGAAGGTCATCGCTTTCATATGTTTTCCTTTCTAAGGGACTGACAAAGAATAGAAATACAAGGCAATCCTCCGGCAGAGCCGGTGGGCGGAGACCAACGAACTGAAGCCTCAACGTTTCCGTTCCCAGCCCTGTCAGTGCGTAAAGGATTCTCCGATTCCTGTCCCCACTGTCACAGACTAGCAGCCTGAGTAGGCACAGCCCTAACAGTGAGGCAACGACCTGCAGCTGCTCTGACGGGCTGTGCAGATGTTTGCAAGTGTTACGGCTTCCCGGGGCAAACACCAGTGAACTTTCGCGAAAGATTCGCGAATGTGCCGCTAAGGTCCAGGTTCCCAGCTTGAGGCCCGCCAACACTCCCCAAGCTGCATCACCCTGTGTTGGTAGCTGGCACGAGGATTGGGTTGAGTTCTGCCTGACTCTAACTGGCACAATTGTCGCACAGATGCTGCAAGTGACCCTGAGTAGCTGTGGAAACGTTCAACCTTCTACTGGGGTGATGCTGCAAGATGTCTGTCCCTATTTTGTGACACTATGACATGTTCCGGCCCATGTTAGCTAGACATGGTTGTAGGACCATGCTTCGCGATGAGGCCGCGAAAGATACTTTTTCCGCGAAGAATGGCCAGTCCAGGATGAACGATTATTGATCAACCACCATATATACAGTACACAGTATATGTATACATACTATACATGTATCTAACATCTAAAACAACCTCAGTTCAAACCCATGGACATGATTGATTGATCCGGGTCAATTGCAGACGAAGTGTCCACTTTTGTATCAATACATCCGCGGCCATTCTTCACAGTGAGTGCCTCTGGTCCCCTTCTGCACTCCAAAGAGGCATACGGCTTTGGTGTTCACTTGCTTTTTTGTGTTCTACTTCGCACGAAAGGACGCATGAAAAGACGCCTTTAAAACAGGGCATTTCAGCAGCCTCGGTCCGTCACTCCGAGCCGAATGTCGCAGGTGTCATGAAGTCGTTGGAGCCGGCCTTCTCGGCGGCTTTGCGGCGTCTACCGGGCGGATGCTTTGCAAAGATGCCACGCTCACAGGCGCAGCATTCACAGACTTCCTGAAGGATCGGTTTTGGAGAGATGCTGAGATTCTGTGTCTTGAAGTCATGCGGTCCATCAACTTTGGTTTGTGTTTCATTATTAGATACTCAGCTTAGCTTAGCTCGGCAGTCAGTTTTTTCTATAAGAAAGGACGTGTTTCTTCTTTCTTGACAACACGTGCCACGAACATCACAGGCGATGACGGCAATCCCACCCCAGACGTCCGTGACGAACATGTACACCTACTTTCACACCTGGCCGAAGCACAGGTCTTGCCGCCCAAGAGCTGTGCTCACGTGATGCCTTTATTGCACCATGTTGTTTATCATTCTGCGCATAATTAGAGAGGAGATGAGAGGAGGTCTTTGCCGAATATCTGCGATTTTTTTGACAAGGTCCAAGTTCATCATCTATGGTGCTCGATCAAACGCGTCCATGACTACCCGGCTGGATGACCAGAAGAAGGCTGCACAAGAAGAAGAAGAAGAAGAAGAAGAAGAGAACATTTGCTCGACAACTCTTTCACAGAATGCTCAGAAAGCTGTTCGCGCTGCTTCAAGTGCCGGTTCCACCAGGCACCGGACCAAAACAACGGGGAGGACCCCGTGAACGGTCTCGAGAGCCTTTACGGACCGATCCTCAGGAGGTCGGGAGAGATCGGGAGCAACAGCGGCTGCGCTTTAGGATGCAAGTGGATGGAAGTTGGAATTTGATGGAATTTGTATACTGTATAAGTTATAAAGGACGGTTATATGTTATAAGTTATAATTTGTATTAGTATGCTTCTGTATACCGGGCTTAGTTTGATTCATTTTTGCCGTTACAATACAGATGCACACAGATGCCAAGAATTCGTTTTTGCGTGTCTAATTCTTGGCAACGGCCGCAATTATGTGATCAACACGTATTCAGCTCGTTCATGACCAGATTACTGGACAAAGACCGCTGGTGAAACGAAGATACAGGAAGAGTCGACCAGAAGACTCGTAGACTGAGGTGGGGTCAACGGTGCTGGGACGAACGGTGCAGAGGGGACCACAGGACTTAGGGGATGACGCCACCATGGCAAGGGAGATGGCAACGGAGATGTCTCCCAAGTCGTTCACTGTTCTCTTGGTTCGGATTCTCCTGGATCGAGCCAGTGTATCAGGAGGTGAGAAGCCGAAGGCAGCCGCTGTTGGAGTCTAAGATTCACGGTGAATTTGGAAGAATCCAAGGTGGCCAGAAAATTCTTGAATCTTCATGAATCTTCTGATGTTTTTCTACATCACCTTTGAGTCTATCATATCATATCATATCATATTTCTAAGAAGGTCAACCATTGCCATTGCCCATTCTCCATTTACACCAGTCCTTTAAGCTGAAAGGCAAAGCCATTGGGCCTGGCGGGAGTGCGGCGCCGCTTCGAGCGGGGTGAAAAGCTCTCTATGGCCCGACATCCCAGAGACAAACCGCCCAACTGCTTTTAACAGCTATTTTAAAGCCTCCAAAACGCGATTGTAGACAACAGATGAGCTTTTTTTCTCGTCAAGTTAATTGGAAAAAGCACTTCCGGCATCTTCCGGCCACTTCCTTGCAGAAGAGCCTGTTCCACAGTCTTTCTTAGAGGAATGAGATGGAATGACTGTTGTTTCTAATTATGTTTGTTCCGGCGGAGTGGTGAGATCTACGCATCCGGGACAACCTACGGTGGAATCTGATCAACCAATCAGGCTGCTTCTGATGACGTGTGAGTACAGGATTCTGCAAGGCAACTGAAATGAAACATGGTATCCGTGATTGTGTGTCACCGCTTAAGGTCAACCACAGCGCAACTTAAACCATTGACAGGAATGTGTTGAATTACGACCGGCATTCGCAGATATAAAAAAAACCGCCTTCAACACCTTGTCCCAGCCTTTGCCGGTCTGAATTCCATCCCATCCGGCTTTGACCGGGCCGCGGCAGTGCTGACAGTTTTTGGGTGCAGCGACCTTCCAACATGTTCGCAGTGTACCACCAGGACATTCTGGTAAAGATAAGCACTGGCAAGGGCGCAAAAGCCAAAAGCACCATTTTCAGATTGTGTGATAGAGAAAAACATACAGATACCAAAAGCACCTCACCAGTAAGATTGTGTGATGAGTTCAAGACCATGTTCAGCAATTTTCAATTGTTTTTTCTCAAGGTCACGGCCTATGACTTTCCATCTGGCCGCTTCGCCCGTCAAGCCGGTGTGGAACTGGTCTTGGTGGGTGACAGCGCGGGCCCTGGTTTTCTTTGTGGAATACGATTCTACAAGAAGAAGAAGACGACGGATTAAGATCCCCATGGTAGGGATGTTTGGATTTGACCCCCCCCCCCCCACTCCCCCAAGATGGTAGGGATAGATCCCCTAAAAATCTAGGAACCAAATCATCAGTGCTTCACGCTTCTTCAAGGAGGCTCCTCCCGCCGCTATCCTGCATCCTACATAGAAGCTATCTTAGCCCTTACTGAATTAAGTAGGCACCTACATAATTCAGTAGTAGGGGGACAGAAGCGGACAAAAAAACTCCACATGTGTGAGGCCTTGGCAATTGCCGGCGGGAAGCTCAGTTTGATGTCGCAATGAGAAGGAGTTTGAAATGGAAGGCACGTGAGGAAGATAGACTTGGCATTGGCAGATGGAATTGGGGAGGCTTGGCTTGCCAGACACTGTGGGTGTCACAATGGAGGCCGTGTTGGGTGACCGGCTGAAATTGACATGCTTCGAACAACTTTTGATTCGTGACAGTGTTCCTGAGATTTCCTGAGTCTATCAACAAGTTGCTGAAGCAAAAGTGAGTGTTACACTAGGCCATCACCGTGATCCTTCACCAACAGTTACAAAGACAAGATAATATCGTCACAAGGATGGCTCGGCAACGGCTAATAATATAAACAATATGTTGCATCACATCTCGAATCTCTGATACTCCATTCTCAACCTTTGGCCACCCACATTATATACATCTCGAAATGTATCCACAATGATCCACATGCCTCTGGCTTCAGGACATGATCCGAGCCACCACGGCTGTGCGTCGCGGGGTGGACGCAGCTGGTGCTGCCACCTCTCCGAAGCCGCTGGTCATCGGGGTCACGCGAGACATGTTTGGTCGGGACACAGTCGTAGATTCCGAGATGTTCCTATTTCAACTTCAACGAAAGGGTCACAGATCTGGTCAGATGTCTCTCAAAACAGGACAGACAAAGCTCGTACCGGTTCGGTCTGTGGGAGATCAGAACCTGAAAACCAAGCTGGCATGGACAGATATCCGCTTCAGCAGGGAAAGTCCAGCATCCCACACCTTTTCATAGCCAGGACATGCCCTTCGGTTTGGCCCTCAGTTCGATTGCAGTGCCGGTGTGGCAAAAGAGTCTTGAAATATGAAGACTCTCAATACATTGCAAAATTGTTAATGAATTACTAGTCTAACAAAATAAATACTAGAACATACAAAAGACTCCTACACCAAAGACCCAAAACCAAACGCCACTCATGGGCATCCAGCTGCCTTGAGGTTCATATTTGACCATGGAGGATGCGCTTCGCAATGCTGCAGCCTTCCGGGTCGCAGGCGAATGTCTTCAGCGGGATAGAGAAAATCAGAAAACCTCGCGAGAATCAGCAAGAGGGCGAGAACTGCAGAAACATGGTGCTGATGTTTTCAAGACAAACGGAGAGGAACCTGAACTAAGCTTGGAATTCTTTGAAGCTCCAGGTGCTGATGTTGTGAAGTTGGAAGGAGGAAGTGGGTGACCCTATGATCAGCCGGGTGGGGCAACACTTGACAAAACAGGCTTGTTCAAAAGAGGAACACAGGCTGACTGAGAGTGGAAGTAGCTTGGTCTCCAATTCAAATACTGTATCAGTATCCAATTGGATTCGATATCTTTGCTTCCCAAAATATTTCAGGAGAACGACATGTTGTGCCTTATGCTTCTGAGGTTTTTCATTTATTCACGTGCTATGGTTACGTTCGGGTCAAACTTGGAGGGTCATTTTGTGTGGCAGGTGCAAGACATGAATGAATTGCTTGCTGGAGAAGCAGAGAAGCGTAACTTTTGTCCCCGCCGTGTATGTCCAATGTCATGAAACCTGGGACTTTGGTCTTCCGCGAAGTTGTTGTCGACCCTGGCCTCAAATCTCACCTGGCCTCAAATTGAAATCGAATGGTTTCAGACGGCTTGATTCATTGATGTTTGGAGGCTCCCTTCCTGCCAGCGACTGTTTGCACGTGTGTACTCTGCCTGGAAGTAACATGGAAGTAGAAACCCCGCCTGTTTGCAGAGGAACATGGTCTTCCAAAGGGCCATGCATGGTCATGCCATCCACGTAACCATGTTAATTCCAGGGAATGTAAATGTCACTTGCACCGGTGGTGAGGTCACCTTGCACCGGTGGTGAGAGCGCTGACCAATGCCGCAAGCTCAGATCAGATTCAGATCATGTTCGATACTTGTACCATTGGTGTTCCGAGAGTTTTTGCCCCTCGGCCAATCCATGTAGGGGCCTCACTAGAATTGATGCAATGATCTTCATATTGACTGAGGATACTGAGGTGTTCCTTTCATGAATCATTGAATCATGAAAGACAGCTCAGCTTGTCTCCGCTCTATCCGCACAAACGTCGGGTAGTGCCAACCGCCTTGCTTCCACAAAAGATTTGGTCCCAAATGCTGTTACCCTTGCACCTTCTAGAAGACCTTTTCCAAGAATTCCATGTTTGTTTTCCAGAGATACCTCTTGATTTTGCAAATGCCAGGCTGGCATTGCCGTGATGAGCCACATTGGCCTAGAGCCTCAGAGAGCCCTGACCCTAGCAGCGGTAGCCACGCGAGGCTAGAACTGGGCTAAGACTGGGGTGTGCATCGTAGACATTGGTAGACTGTGGCTTGAGTATATATTGAGCATAATAAACGTCTGTGGAGTTTTTCCCCGCTGAAGAGAAATTCCACGCGCGCGCCATCTGCGCCGGAGTCAGACATCTTATCACAAGCACAAGAGGATGTCGTGTTGCTTTTGGAAACCCGTAAAATTCTGCAACTTCCAGTCAACAGTCAACAGCCAGTTGGCTGCTCTTTTAGCGTCGCGCTGTCATGGGAGCTCAGGCACTGCTGCAAGGAGGTTTTCGACTACAAGGCCGGGTTTCTTCTCGCCCCCTCCCGTGGACTTCGAAGAGATTCTTTTCGGTTTTCTCTTTTTGGGGAGGCACCTCAGCCACAAGTGCCATGGAAATCATCTCAGATGCAAAGGACAGCGGCTGTTTTGCGGCACATGCTGAGCTGCCTTCATAATAATATGGTTGCTACTAGATACATCCATTCACTAGTTACCGGTGCCGATCATGACGCCGATTTCAGAAAATTCTTTCCAGTTTTGGATGGAGAAATACATAGTCCATGTTCCTTTACTTGCCGCGCTGCTGCGCTTTGTGGTGGAGGAGTTGAGTGGTGCTGGTTGTGTGCTACTTGTTGTGGAGATGGTCCCGGAGGAGGCACGAATCATTAGGTCACGCTTCTCGCTTCAACTCGTATTCTCCCAGCAGACAGGCCGTGAGTACTGGGTCGCTGGGTTCAGACATTTGCTTTAACTCCCCCAGAAACGGTTCCCTTTGCAAAGGCGATCTGAGCTTTTCAGAGAATCTTCCTGTAAAGAAGCTGAACTCTTTTTCTGGTGAGGTGGGAACAGCCGTCCCTGCCTGAGAATTGGGCCTGGTGAACTTGATGGTGTATGCTTTTCACACCCTTTGGCATCAGCAACCCAGGTACAGGCCTCCATCTCTTGTCCCGTCATCGGAATTGGCGCTGGCGGCAAAGTCGCTGGCCAGGTCAGCCTTCGACTTTTCACACCATATTTCACCGTCGGTCACCGTGTTGTTTCGACATGTCTTCATCTAAAGTGTTCTGCCACAGCGGTTGGCTAACAGAGACCGGCGAAAATCAGAAAACCATGCCATGGAAGGCTTAAGGTTAAGCCTGCAAGCTCCGTGTTTCGCACTCAAAGGCTGCATGCTTTGTGCTCAAAACTGCACAGAGTGCAGTGCCAAGTGACGCCTTTCTTCTCGGTTCAAGCTGAGAAGTCACTTCGCCCGCCGGTTGAGTTTGCCTCCCCGCACACGCCATGCAGACTCCAGGCCAGCAGGTGAGCCAGCTTGCCCAGCAGAACTCCATCAGCACATTGGTAGCACGTGTGCGTGCCCGCAGTGCTGGCACTCCTATGCCATTCACCTCACAGGGACTTGTTGAGAACTCGGAGTCGGGAAAAGGACCGTGCTTGTGGGAAATCGGAAGTTGCAAAAAAGGCGAAGTCTTTTGAAAAAAGGTCAGCCTTTAATCCTGTGTGGAATTCTTTGAAGGCGGTGTTGCGCTCCTTTCGTAAGTCCAGAGAAGCCCTAGTGTGAGTTAGCGTTTTGTTTCGAGTTTGAATGAGTTTGATTTTGCTCAGCAACCAGGATTCACTATTGGCCGGGAGTATCCCACCATGGGCAGCGGCGATATGTTCACCAGTATCGTAACTCCAGTGATGCTCAGCTTGACGTTCTGCCTGATGGTTGGCAGGACCATTGCCAAATGAACTGCGGCAACAATCGCCACAGTGTTCCGGGAGCACCTGCCATGCGACATCTTCGGCTAGTAGAAACAAGTGCCACGCTAGTAGTAACAGGTGCCTTACTAGTAGTAACAAGAAGCTACTAGTAACAAGTGCCACGCCTTTGAAGCGCAGATGCTCCGCTCTCTTTGCATGTCAGAGTGTCGTCTCGGGGCCATGGAACCGGATCATCGATCCGCCGTTGTGGTCTCGTGCTGAAAAAAAGCCCACAGAGGCAAAAACTTTGATTTGGAGAGAAAAGGCAAGGGTCCCAGTCCCATTACATGTAATTACATATTATACTGAAAATATACTTATCATTTGATTAGAATTGATTCATGACATATTGCATATTTATCATATTGATTCATATTGTAATAATGTATTCAATTTTGGGATGTCAGGTTTCATGATGACAATTTCTTTTATCTCTCCGGTCGAAGGATCGTCCTGCTGATCGAATCTGCCAGGTCCTGGTGTGCGATGATATGCTCGGCATGCATGGCCGCCCGCCACTGAGTGGGCGGATGCCGCGGAAGCTTCTCTTGAGATATTTTGAAAAGATGCAATCCTTTCCATTGGACCCCTTTTCATAGTAATTAGACTCTGTCGCCATGAACTCCTTTTGCCTCTCTCCTCCCTCCCTCTCCTCCCTCTCCCTCTCCTCCCTCTCCCTCTCCTCCCTCTCCCTCTGCCGCCCCCCCACACTCTCCTCTCTTCAATTCGTCTATCTCTCAAGCAATTCTCCATCTCGCTGAGGGCGGGCCCGTACAGGAATGGTTGTGTTTCAATCGGCAGTTGTGGATGGTGCTCCGGATCATGTGCTTGCATATACCCATGGCTGCAGACCAAGCACTCGAGCGTACCGCAGCTAAATCTACGGCATTTGGCAACATCAATTTTGAAACAGCTGGCTGAGAGTCAAAGAGGCCTTGTAGGTCTCACTCATTTTGACACTACCGGCACTGCCGGTCAAAATGAGCTTTCTGCTAATATATGCTGGATATGTGCACTTGAGACTTTTGACCATACATATATTATCATAGATTTATGTTATTACTATGAATAATGGAATTGGATCACTGGTGTGAAACTGTTGAGATTCTTCTACTTTGAGTTTTGCAGCTTTCACCCATTTGCCACACCACACCCCAGAATGCTGCGGTGGAAGCATAAAAGCGTACGAAAATACTACACCCCTTTTTGCACAAGAACAGATTTTCACCTTTGAACCCGATGTTTCGATTTGATTTGTTTCGAAACGAAGTTCAATCATGTTCACTGGATGGACCAGCCAGCAGAAGGATGAAGGAGTATACGCAAGATCAGTGTGCTGGACCACCTTCTCGTTATTTCCCCTTCCCGATTCAGGACCACCTTCCTTCGCCAAGATGTTTGCCGACGTGGGGCGGGCCTCTGCCATGGTGCGGAACCTGGGCAAACAACAGGTAGCAATATGGGTGTACGGTGTACTTCTTTTGGATGTTTGGTAAAACCTACTGTGGCTAGACTGGTTTGCTGCCTTTAAAAAAGACCAAGGTCAATGGTGTTTCATTTACTTGAGAAGGTTTGGCACATTCACTAAGGCGTATGAGACCTATGTCAAAGAGGTTCGCAGCGGTGACGCTCTGAGAGAACCTGTGGTGGAGCAAGTTGTTTCTATTGTTACAGTAAGTTTCCCTAAAAATCTAGACACCAAATCATTAGTGTGAGCGCTTCTTCAAGGAAGCTTCCCTGTGAACTATCCTGCGTCCCTAGTAGTAGCTACTTAAACTACTAGCTACCTCTTCTACTACCTAGCTACCACCTCTACGGCCTAGCGAATAGATGCCGTGGAATAATCCAAGCACTCCATAGCTGCATGGTCAAAGTTCTTGGCTGACAGAGATTTGGGATGATGATTAAGTGCTTTTTTTGCAGGCATGTATTTTTGTGCGCCAAGGGCAGTTTCCTGGAGACAAGTATTCTAGACATATGCCAGCAGAGGAGAGAAACGGCCAATGGCATCGATCCGCGAGCGCATGTCAAATGCTGCCTTTGCACGACTGGAGTTTGTTTTTGGGTAGTTTGTCAGATTCAGTGTAGGCCACTCAGCACTTTGTGCCAATCATATTGTTTGGCTATGGGACAACACCTGTATGCATACAGTATACATGATTACATGTTTGAAGAAATCAAAGCTGCACATGGTTTCAAGATGTTTCAAGCCATTTTTTCCATCACACAGGTTAGGTGCAAACTACTCACCCTTTCATCAGGAGTTGCACAAGCTGCAGCAGCTCTTGCCGCAGGCGGGAACGATGTGGACGTCACTGGTGTAATGGAATCAAGGCCTCGACCGTCGGCCTAGACCCGTTGGTTTTCGTGATACCCAATTCACAACTCTGATGAGTGGCAAAACGGGACAGGTGCCTCTACTGAGCCTCACGCAGGACCAGCTCTGGGTCGCATGGATCCTTTGATAGATAAGACCTTCAGTTATCAACCACATCTGTTGAATTATGGTAAATTGTCTCTTCTTGAGCGGTAGGTAGTAGATAGCCACCAATTTCAGAAGGTTTCCGTCAAAGGGAAAAATCGCCCAGATGAAGCAAGCATCCGAATGATATAGTTAGAGTCGTCGGCAAGGAGCCTGCAGAGACATCTACTGTGAATGGCCACTCAGCCTTTGGCTTAGAACGACAGCACGGCTGTCTTTGGAAGACGAAACTCTTGCTGGATATTGACAAACAAACATGCATATGTGAGATGCTGCATTCTGCATTGGCTGCTTTCAGGCTTCTTCGCACCGCACGCCAGGCAAGTTGCGGCAGGACAAGATACACCAGCTGAAAGGTTGAAAACATGCTCAATCTAGTTTGCCTGTGCCATCCGATTATACCTAATAGCCTATGCCTCTATTGCTTAGGGTGCCACTCTCAGGCGTCCAAACCCATAGCAAACCAGAGATGTTCACCAGCTCCGTTCTCGCCGTGGGAGCAGACCTTGGACGTCCGTGTAGCAAAAAGGGCCAAACCTCAGCGTTTGTTCAGGGCTCCTCAGGGGTCCCCCTCCGACACGGGCTTCGGGACCCGCAGGGGACCCGCAGGGGCAGAAAGGACTGACACCACCAGCGCCCCGAAGCACTACGGGCTTTTGACTGGTCAAGTTCAGAGAGTCAGAGAGCTTGTGCTTCTTTCAGAAACTCATTGCACGCAATCAACAAGTGGCGTGCAGATGCATGCAGATATTTTGTTCAATTGCCGACATGGCGAGTGTCACTCGCAAGGTAGCTTTGGCTTTGAACTCCTGCATGGGCGTTTGTTGCCAGTGTCACCGCCTGAGTTGTCCTCGTCCAAAGTCGTCACCGCCGGAGTTACTGTTTGGCTGGACGTTTGCAGGCAGCGTTTGGCTGTCAACGGTGCACGCCTGGCTGGTACACGAGGCATTTCGCAGGTGTGGCATGTCGCATCATGTCGCGCGTGTGGCACCGTGGCACCCGCCACAGACAGAGATTTTGGTTTGGCCTTTTCAACTCCTGTGGCTCTGGAATGACTAATGACGACATATTACGACTCCAAAAGAATACTCTCCCTGGAACTAACATGGAAGTGGAAAATGGCCACTGGAAAGACACATTTATTCTACAAACAGGAGCTTTTCCACTTCCATGTTTGTTCTAGGGAGGAAAAAAACACACATACACATGTACCTTCTCCAAAGTTTCAGAGTTCCCTGGAGTTGCCTGTTTCTGCAGGCAGCCACTGGCACAAGGATAGAGCACCTTCCCCAGTGAACATGTTCTTCGTCAGAACAGACGTGAAAGATTTTGCAAGTACACTGCCTTAGGCCTAAGCGGCTGTGCTCCAATGCAGAGTTGATCGCCACAAGCTGAAAGATGAATCCATTTCAACTTGCAAGCAACTTCCTTTACAATTTGTAGCCGAGCAAGGACTGGAGGCGGCAAGTTGCGGAGCAGGGACGCCGCGTTGCGACCCATTCTTAGCTTTGGTTGGATGTTAGTTTAGTAATTCGGTTGTTTTTGTGTGTTTTTAGAAGTCATTGGATCTTTGTAATGTCGGAAAGAACAAGATGTACTGTACAAGACCTGTTCCATGATTTATTTGTCTATTTCTTTCACCCTATTCTCCTATATTCTCCTCGCATCAACATGTTTGATCTCCCACCGTTTTCTGCGAGGTTCGTGCCGACCATGGGCAACCTTCATGAAGGACACCTGGAGTTGGTCGACGCGGCGCTGCAACGAGCTGACGAGGCGTGTAATCTTTGGTGTTTGTGCTTGAAGATGTGCCACAAAGACCGCGAGGGCCCATTTCACATGAATCTGAACACACAGAAGCTGGAGCTGATAAAGTTCCTGGTATGCTTTTGAAATTTATACGACTTTCTATGCATGGACGAAGCACATGAACAAGATTTGCCCTACATGGCTCTCAGAGGCCATCGTGTCCATCTTTGTGAACCCATCACAATTTGCGTCTCACGAGGATGGTCGGATGGGCTGGAAGTTTCTTGCACGGTGTGCGTGGAGCATTGAGACATACTGAAACACTCAACACATTTGACACATCTCATCACGTTCTATTTTTTTGACTTTTTTGCAGATTACAAGACTCCACGTTTTCTGGGTCGCCTGGTCGAAGTTGGCACGGAGTGTTTTTGCCAGGACCTGGATACATATCCACGCACCCTTGAGGAGGAGCGTCTCAAAAGTGCTTGTGCTTTTGGGCGACGTTGATGTGTCTAGAATGAGCCTGTATCAACCAGTGGACCAGCTGCGCATCATGCATATTTAAAAAGAATCAGGGACAAAACACCACGTCAGGACGTGCAGAAGCTGCGCGAGCGAGGGGCCACGGCGCTGTTCACGCCTTCAGCCAATGAAATGCTTCTCGGCCTTGCGAGGGAGCCATGGTGCCACGGTGGCCGGTCGCCAGTCCGGTTGACCTTCGATCTTCGGAGCGCCACTGCATGCTTCCTGTTTCGAGGTATCCAACTGGAAGTCCAGGTGGTACGATGGTCAGGGCCCCGATGGCCCATAGTGACAACGCGCTTTAAGCTTGTTGTGCCATTGATTTTGTCCAGTAGATCGCCGACGTTTTCTTGCGACCGAAACTCGGTCGGCCGCTCTACTGCGCAGCATTTGCCGCTTGTGTGCTGCGCAGCAAGGTCGTGCCGCATTTTGTAGAGGGCAAGAGCGAGGCTGAACTTGTGACTAGTAACAAGGGCGCTATTAGGTGGAGGCCATCGCTACTACTAACAAGAAGCTACTAGTAATAACTGTGGAGGTAGTTTGAAGTTCTCCAGCCCTTGGCCCATCGGAAAAAGGCTGCTGATCGTCCTCATTTTTTCACGGGTGTGGCAACAGTATGCCCTGCCCTGAGACCTGTCTCCAGAAAACAAATGAATGTCAAATCGACTACACCTGCCGATATTTGTTAACTTCTCAGGTCTCAAGTTCTTCAACCTGGTACAGCCCGATGTTGCAATCTTCGGGCAGAAGGATGCCATGCAATGTGTGGTCATTGCAAGAATGTTGGAGGACGCTTGTTGTGTTTGAGGCTTCCAGTCATCGTTTGGCTTGACCATGTGACCATCTGTCATGAGGACCTCCTGCTTGATCATCGTATTGCTTTGCACGTGGTGCCCACCTCACGCGAGTCAGACGGGCCATGGCCTCATAAGTGCGCAGTCTTCCAGGCAGAACTTTCAAGGTGAACCAAGGCGAAACATCGATGGACCAAAACAATCCTATACATCCTATACAGACACAGATAATCAATGATAATCCCGTTTTTTTTGGGCGGGTGTTTTCATTCCGAGGGTGGCTCGCTCCTCCCGAAATTCATACCTCTCGCCGAGCATGCGCCAGAAGGCCTCGGCTGTGAAGCGAGTGTAGCGTGCATCCGTGCATCCATGTGGTGTGTGTGTGTGTGTTATTTTTTGTGAATCCATGTTTGCAGGCGCCTGCAATTTACAAGGCACTTTGTGCTGCCACAACAGCCAAGGGCGCTTCACCTTGGTCGGTTGAAGACTTAAAAGCGTATCCGTCAGAGATTGTCTGAGGCTGTTGTGTTGTATCGACTGCTGTTAAATGCAACATGTGATTAACATGTGATTTATTTTTGACCTTGAGCCTTGAGATGTTCTTTTTCTGTGTCTTGTTTAGGCCATGCGTAAGTATCCTGTACCTTTGTCTGGGCTTGAGTGCGTCTTGCCTAAGGTCCGCACGTCCGTCCGCGAAGACCTAGAGACCCAAGGTTTGGAAGTGAGTTGGATCCTGAGGAAAGCCATGAGCATATTGGCTCATGAAATATGGATCTATATGGTATGCCATGCAATATGCTAGATGATATTGTGCATATTGCATGTGCATACCATGGTACGTTCCTTCCAGGCTACATCTCTGTGGCAGACACCCGCTTCATGAATGAGAAAGCTGATGAGGCTGTCGTAAGATGGCCTGATTGGTGTATAAGCTGTGGCCGGATTGGTTGCGGTTCCATGGTGTGGGCGTCACTTTTGCAACCCGAGTCGAGATGTAGCTCCAATGGCTCAAGGTGTCCTTCCTGTTGAGAGCCTGATTATCAATGAAAACAACGACAACACTGTGTTCTTCATTTGTTTTGCCTTGGTTTGTTGGAAAATGCAGGCTGATTTGAGCAATTCAGTGGTGAGCATTTGCTGCATCATGAAGGCGCGGCGTTCGCAATTGGATTCGTTCCTATGAATTGACTGGGTGTCCGCTTGAAAGATCTTACAGGGTAAAGAAAGGCCAGAGGATTGAGATCAGCTTGTATTGACAGACAGTTTGTTGAAAAGCCTTGCTGTTGAGAGAAAAGCCACATAAGGCACAATGGCATCATCAGATTAACTTACAGTATCATGATGATGATGATGATGATGATGATGATGATGATGATGATGACATGCTTGCTGGTGCAGAAACTCTGGATACTTCTCAGCACTGCTCTACATATTCCTCCTGCGCTGTGAGGAGGAGGGCCATCGTACCTGCCGATTGCTGGACACTGTGCTGGTGCCAGCAGGGGCTTAGACGATGAAACCAAGGCATGCTGAAACTCGACTGCACAGAAAGATGCAGTCAATTTGCGAAAGTGCTTTAACTGGCCAGAAGTAGCAGATGAATGTGGTTTCAAGCAATTTTTGTGTTTTATTTTGACTCGCTGATTCTCCGTGTCAATTCTCCCCTGAAATAGCGAGACATGCTCCTTGCGGAACACCCGCTGTTGTTCACAGGTCATGGGCGGCCCCCAAGCGCTGATGGCGCGAAGCGGCCTCAAGCTGCCCTAATGAACAGTAACCTGCATTTTGCCCTAAATAAACAAGAATTGCTCCACGAAACATCATGCAACATGGTTAAACACGTTGTCAACTACTCATCTAGTAGTTGACACAAGGGACATCAAGATCTCTGCTCACTCTCGCTTGTTGTCATAATGAGTGTGACATTGCATACCTTGGTGCTATCTTCAATCGATTGGCCGATGACCCGAATACCTTGATTTTGGAGCTAGGTTCACTAGCCTGGCCATTTGGTGCTCTACTTTGCATCAGCATGTGCTTTGTTTTTCAAGAAGACTTGCACAGTGACTTGGAGGGTATCACCTGACAAGCAATGCTTTGTTTTCCATTATTGCTGGTGCAAGAGGACGTGCAGCTGAGCTGCATTGGGCCGCAATTGTTTTTCCCTATCTATCAGGTATCACAGAGAGAGCAGGACCGACAGGATATGAGCAGGATCAAAGTTTCTAAAGAAACATCCTGTTCCCTCAGCGAGCCACTAGGCTGCCCAACATGTCCTGATTGTACAGACAGCCGGACATTGTTTCAAGAGAGTTCTGCAAAAGTCAACTTCCCAGCCTGAAGTGTCCGGCTGTTGCAGGTCGGGCCACTATCCGTTTCTGATCCACATGTAGCTCAAGTTGTTTCCGCTTAAAGTGAATCAGAGGTGAGTATTTGATCAATATTAATCAGTTCTCGATGCACCCTGTTTGATTTGATTGAAAGTGCGGAGACTACTGTAGGGATTCTTCCGCCCCATGCTGCACGCAACAAATGCCAGCAGCGCCGAGCATCAATCCGCTATTGTTTGTCCGCGCCTGAGTTGCATCAGATCATGGAAGAGGCGAATTGCATCAGAATTGGCCAATCTTGTGCATCAATCACAGTCCTAAATTTACAGCCTTCGGCATGCCGCCGGCCACCAGCTCGAGCCCGCATTGGCAGGCAGCTTAATGATACAATACCCTGCTCAATCATACTTGTTGGTGCATTGGAGGTGCACATTTGGCTGGGTGAGTTTGTTGATGTTTATTTCAAGGTTGTTTGACCATGAAATGGAACAAATCCGAATCAGAGGTTGTCTATTCTGATCCAGCGATCCGAACCGGCATGTCTCAGTCGAATCACCTAAGAGGAACCAAGTGAAGCCAACACAAGCAATGCGAACCAAGACTATCCACAAAACATGACCTTGAAAACGATTCTTCTTCCAAGCTACTTGGCCGTGTGCATGTTTTCCTTTTCAGATCTTTTTTTCGACCATCTCGAGGGACTGCGACACGCACCAGATATTCTTTTTCACACACAGAAGGCTTCAAAGCGACCGAAGAATTTCTAGATCTGGCATGATTTGTCGTTTTTTTTCTCCAAACCGTTTGAAATGAAAGACCCAGAATGACATCGAACAACAATACCCTGCTCAGTCAGACTTGTGGGTGCATTGGAGTTGCACATTTTGCTGGGAGAGTTTGTTGCTGTGGATTTCAAGCGAAGTCGTTTTACAATGAAATGGAACGAATCCGAATCAGAGGTTGTCTATTCTGATCCAGCGATCGACATGTCTCAGTCCAATGGTTGTCTATTCTGATCCAGCGACCTACTACCTACGACCTACGACCTACTACCTACTACCTACTACCTGCGACCTACGACCTACGACCTGTGACCTATGACCTACGACCTACTACCTACTACCTACTACCTTCGTACCACCTACTACCTACTACGTACCACCTACTACCTACTACCTACGACCTATGACCTACGACCTACTACCTACTACCTACTACCTACTACCTACTACGTACCACCTACTACCTACTACCTACTACCTACTACCTACTGGGGGGGGGGAGCGTCAGGCTATCGAAAATCTCGCGCGGAGAGACAATACTCAAGCAATACTAACCAATACAAGCAATACTAACCAGAACAATCCACAAAACACGCCGGCAGGCCGGCGGATTCAATTACAGTGAACGTTCATTTTGTTCAACTCGTTGCCCGTGCTGTCATGGGATTCGTTTTGCTGGCTGATCCTTGTAATTCAGTTTGGCCAATGGGTTTTCATTCCGCATAGCTACCGCTAGCATAGCGTCCACAGACTCAGCAACTGTTGGTCAAGTACACTCAACCTCCTTCAATCTAGCTCGCAGTGGCTTTGTGACGTGGGTGCACCATCAACAAGTTAAGTTCGGAATGCAAAAGAGCTAAAAATACAATGTACAGTACATGTTTATTGGGTTGACCCATTGTCCGTCTCTCTCAACCTGCAAGCATGAATTCTTCATCCAACCGAAATGCTAAGACTGTAGAAGACTGCGAGTTCGTTCACGATCCAGTTCTGGCACAGAACTTAGCTTTTCCAGTAGCCTTGACCTTCGTTTCTTGCAGTGAGCTGGGAAGCCGGCGGATTCTTTGGACGAGTCCGTTTTGGGTAATCCTGTTTGACCATTGGTGGTTCAGACGAAAGCAAAGACTGGGGGAAGGGGACTTTTGGGGTGAAAGTGGCCACATTTGTCCGATTTCGGATTTGGGGTGTGTGTTGTAATAGGGAGCCCCTGGCCCAATGGGTTTTGGTCTATTTCCCTTCTTCCAGGGGTCTTTGGGAGGTCTTCCTGGAAGCGTTGAGGTTTGATCTAACAAAAAGCTAGTAGTAACAAGTGCATCGCTACTAGTAACAAGTGCCTTACTAGTAGTAACAAGAAGCTACTAGAAACAAGCAAGCTATGTTCAACTTTTGGTGAAACGAATCCAGGAGCTGAGCGATGCTGCTCATGCCGGACAGATGGCTGCCGCTGGCTTTCTTTCCCGCATATGACTACGGGTCAAAACCCGGAGCCCCAAACCCTGGTAGGTTGACCTCCGAGGCAGTCTATTCATGTCTATTCTATTCTGTTTATTATCGGTGGTCAACCAGGGACCCACAGACATACATTGTCGCTCTTTGGAATGTTGTTTTGCTAATCTTGCCAGCTGCTCAGGTCTTGCATGGCACCACCGACAGTGGGGCATCAACGTTGGCCAGTTTGGAAAGGGGGCCTATCCTGAAGGAAGCGGGTGAAAAAAGGGACCAACGTGTCATGAACACTATAAGAATACTCACCAAAAGAAGTGGGGCCGCTTCAAGACACGTGTCCCAGCCACGCTTCTTGGGATCAACTCCTTACAGTTCGAGGCTCTAAGAGCAACCAGCAGCACCCGATCGCAATATGCAGTTTCGTGGTTTCGGTGCAGGAAAAAAATATACAAAGGTGTGTGGCATTTGAAGTGGAATTGAGCAAAGGCATTTAAGAGGTGTGTTTGCTTCGTAACACGACCCCAACAAATGTGGCGCAGGTAGCTGATGCTTGCCTGCGAGGGCTCGTCAAGATGTACCCTTGGCAGACCTTAACCGCTCCAGATCAGAAGTGCTTTTTCAGCTTTTTCTCTACAGCAACGTGATCCTAGCATATGTCAGCTTGCTTTCATGTGCAAAACGATTTGCCAAGTTGCCAAGCCTAGCAGCCAAGTGATTTGCCAGGCTAGACTCCAAGTGCGAAGCCTTGTCTTGTGAGGCCTTGGTGCTGCTGCAATAAAACAGCTCAACAGTACTGACCATGTTGAACCAACTCAAGTTCAGAAACTGACCCGAATTCAGAAACTAGTGTTCAGAAACTAAAACCACGGTTCAGAAACTAGGGTTCAGAAACTGGGCGGGCTCAGAATCTACGGTTCAGCAATGTTCAGCAACTCTTTTTGTCGGGTTAGAAACTATGTTTGCCATTGTTTGCCGGGTTCAGGAACTATGTAGGTTCAGAAACAATTTATGGCAGGTGTGCCTCGGAGATGATGCCGCTTCCAGTTTCCGAACCCCACCTTTCCAGTTTCCGAACCCGAGTTTCCGAAACTCACGCTGCGTGTTTCCGAGCGCCTTTGGTCAAACCATATATGTAAGCCGTAAATTTAGGCTACGGCCAAACTCTCTTTCATACATTGATGACTACGAAGGTTGGCATCGATCAGACAAGATGTTTGTCAGGCCGTAGTGTCGCTCAGAGCATTGCTTCAGCGGCGCCATAGCAGCAAAGACAGTGGGCCTAGGACTCAGTGGTTCAAAGTAGTAGTTTCAGCTTCTCGGATAGTATATACATGTATAATATACTGCTTGAGGAATCAATGAATTCTGACAAAGCATTGGAAAGCTAAAGACTGCAGGTTGGGCAGCGTCCTCCCACATCTTGTGACGTATTTGGAGGCGAGGGTCTTGAACTGCCTGGATTGTCCCACCCCAGCTTCTTCAAAACTGTTGTGCCTCTGCTTGAAATCGGAGCCGCATAAGCTGCTTTCTTCCTGCGTTGTGATGTTGTGTCACAGAGCCAGGACTTGTCAGCACCAACTGCAAGAGCCTCCGTGGTTTGGATGATCGGTCACTACCAGCAAGAGGCTGGCTCGGTGAACAAGACTGGAAAGTGTATGATGCCGTTCAAGTGATTTGCCACGTTTTGTTTGCCGTGGGGGTTGCAGGATGGTAGCTGCACGTGCTATGCTACTGGAATTTAAGGTCCTTTTCTTTGTTGAATGAACTTCTCGGGCAAGTCGCTACTGATACTGAGCCCTGCTACGCTCCTTGCAATGCACCAACTCCATTCACTGGGCCGAGCAGCATTGGGAGGTGGCCAAACTGGCCCCCGACGTGGTGCGACGCTTGGCGAAGGGCTTCGCGGCTGAGCGGCAAGAGGCGAAGAACGCGAAGATTGTCAGCGGTTTTTTCTGTGCATAGAGTGACACTGTGTTGTGTTTGATTCAGTCAGTGATGAGATTCTTTAAGGGGAGTAGTAGCAGTCGTATCAAACTCCAAAACCGATGAACATGGGCAACTGAACGGCCGCACGGCTTTCCTGCCCAAGCCGTTTGGAACTCAAAACGCGAAGCGGTTGGGTCAGAAGCCATGCTTGGACCTCAGCAAATCATATGCCATATAAGAGTGATGCTTGCAGACCTGGCTTTTCATGTCGCGTCCTTGATCGCATGTGATCGCCGCTGTGAATCGGACATATATCGCAGCGGGCGCAGCGCCTTGTGTCGGTCGGGCGTTGAGGCCGGTGAGAATACTGGATCAGAAGTCCGTGAAGGACGAAGCAAAGACGAACCGAATGGGCGTGACGCGTTCCGTGACGTCCGCTCCGTGCCGCGTTCCCTTTTAGAGTCGACCACAGAAGAGAGATCTCGTTCGTCGTTCTTCCGCTTCGGAAGTCGTCGGGTTTCTTCGGTGAGGACTATTTCCCGGAGGAAAAGAAGTTCGCAGAGGTCCTGAAGGAAACTCCAGAGATGGACCGGGCTTCTTGTGAGAAGTTTCTTTTGGTTTCGCCTGATTGCTTTCATTTTCATGTTCATTTTGTGCCCCTTCAATAGGACTTGTACTATTTGTGCGGCATTGGGAAGAGCCGGAGCCTCAGCTTGAGGACAGATTGACTTGCATCGGCCCTAGCTCACTTCCAGAGGCATCTTTGCTCAGGTCATTCACGACTGGAGAAGTGCTTGAAGACCAAAGTAGATGTCAACAAGCCCAATGAGGACCTCAAGTCATGTTTTTGTTTGATGTGATTTATAACATTTTATAACATTTATATACATCTATAACTTCTGGCATTTTCTTGCACCGATTGTCCGAACGGTCCTCGTAGCATCAACAAACTTGGTGCAGATGGGTGCAACAGCTTTGATGTTTGCAGCAAAAGCCTGGTCGGGACGCATAGAGAGGTTTGGTGAGGCGAAGCCCAGCGAAGTCCGTACTTTTTGGAAATGCCCAGGTCGCCCTCCTTTGTCGAGCGGCTACTGGAAGCCAAAGCCAATGTTAATGCAGAGGACTGCCAGAGTTTCACCTGACAAGCTGGACCGCTCCCTGGATAAGGCTGCAACTTTGGGATCTCCAATTGGGGCATCAAAGCGAACATGGTCTAGTGGGATCTACGGGGTGCTTTGGGATTGTTGTGTTTGCCTGAACAGAACCAGACTCCGGAACCATCATGAGAGATTCATTGAGCCTCGGTCCAAATAAGCCGAGGGATTGTCACTTTAGTAGCGAGGGCGCAGTTGTGCTGAGAAAATGCACCATTCATACCATGTAAAGCGAGGGCTCCCCCCTAAAAAAGCGATAACCTGTAACGACATAAGACGGTCCATTGGACTTCTCGCAAACAACTGGCAAAACTGATGAGGGAAATTCAACCTGTGGCGTCTGTGTTTTCTGCAGTTGTGATACCATTTGTTGTCCAAGCTGATTGAACCGTGTCAAAGCTATAACCGTGGCATACCGTGGCCATAACTTAGCGACAACCGTTAGTTGCATGGAGACCTCCGGGATAGACCCATGAACCTATATAGATTATATAGCACCTGAAACCAGAAGTCCTTCATCAATGTCGGAGCCTGATGGAATGGATATCCTAGTAGCGATGCCAGGAGCCCATCTATATAAAGCACGGTGATTTCCTGGCTCAACGATCGAAAACGACCACCTACGGGCACGCTTTTCTTCGGACAAAAAATGCCTTGGTCGTTCGGTGTTGTCACCGTCAAGTGTCCAACAGACTCCCCCTCGCCAGGTCTCTTTTGATCTGGCGATCGTGAAAAAGCCACAAAACGTGCCGTGGCTCAAGGCATTCTGCTGTAGCGCTGAGTTTTGGCCTTGAAATACTCAGCACGCATCTTCTCCGAACCCCAGTTCTTCCCGGTGGAATCTGTTCCAGGGGTTGGATGGATGCTGGTCTTGAGACTCAGCTTTTGGTGCCACTCTTGACGATGCGGCACTCGATGCTGCAGCTTTTGGTGCCACTCTTGATGACGCGGCACTCGATGCTGCGGCTTCCGAAGGCATGTGGCTCACTTGTTCCATGAGCTGTGATGCTCTTTCCGCGCTTCTGGCTGCCCAACTAGCAACCTCAGCAGCTCGTAAAGCTTTCTTTGCAGCGTCAGCTGCCACACCTGCAGCTTCGCCAGCTGCTTCTGCCATTTGATCGTTTGATCTTGGCATTGAGCGGTGTGAGGAAGCGCCATGCTGCACCTGCGAGCCCGATCGTCTCCGGGTAGGGTTGGACGTAGAGCTCGTTTTTGACATAGCCCCCTCCTCTTCTTCACTGGCCATCTCCGTCATGGTTGGGCTGTCTTCTTCGAGAACCTCGTGCGTTCCCCCTTTTCTTCCGCTTCTTCTCAACCGTGGTGTCCTCCTCCAGCCATCCCTTTCTTCTTCCTCCTCCTCATCTTCGCAAAGTGGCTGTGGCTGCCTGATGACACCATGCAATCTTTCGAGACAGCAGCCTATGGAACTCAGCGCTGTCTTTCCCACACAGATTGCTCCGATCAACACCAGGATTAGGCCACACATCCAAATCGCATCGACAGGAAGGTCACTATCATGGGCTTCTGTTGAACCCGTTGTGTTTGCCGCCTGGGTGGCTTGGATGATCGCTCCCCCCACCACTAGCATCTGCAAGGCCACTGCGCGATCTTGTACTTGAAGGTGTCGATCGCCCATAGCCACTCGTTTCGCCTGGACCTGCTCGCTTTGTAGGCCCAGATCCGACACAAAGCCAAAGAAGCTTTGGCCAGATAATGGCTTTGTCATGCCATCAGCCACCAACTCTGTTCCTTTCAGGTGATGGAGCTGCCACTTACCTCCAGGAAACTCAACCTGATCTTCTAGAGCTTCTCTGAGGATGTTCGCTCTGACCCTGAGGTGGCGTGTCCGCCATGATGAACTGCTATTGCCATAAGCGAGACCGATTGCAGCAACATTATCTCCATAAATCACCCGCTCAAAGGGATTGGATGAAGTGAGATCCTCCCCCCAGATGGCACACATCAAAGCCTCAATGGATCTGCCAGTCGTGAGGGCTTCGCAATATGAGACAAGCTCTGCTTCAGCCGTGCTATGGGTCACGAAGGGTTGAACCGAGCTGTGCCAAGCCACCGGAGCGCCAGCGAAGCAAGTCACCAGTCCTTGGATGCTGCGATGGTTGGAGCCAGCACCATATGCTATGTCAGCGAAGACCTCGATGAGCTTGTCGTGGCGCTGAACCTTCAATTGACTTCTAGCACCCCATTTTTGGTGGATCTCCCTGGGATAGTGCATGTCACCAGGGCTGCCTTTGACATAGGCCAGGAGGTTGTGGCCGATTTCAATGGCCCTTTTGGGATTCTTCGTCATCAGACGGCTAAGAGCTGCCACACCATAGGCCAAATCAGGCCTGGACCTTGTTGACAACCAGAGCAATGACCCGGCTAAGGCTTGCGCCTCACGGACCTGGCGACGGTCACATTCGACCTGCACCTCATAGTCTTCCTCACTGATCTTGAAGCGAGGGAATTGCACAGCCTCTTTCACATTCCAGCGGGTGAGGATTTCTTGCTCATATTGGCGTTGAGACAAATGAAAACCATCTCCAGCTCCATCAGCCATGATTTCAAACCCACAGAAATGCACCGGCGTTTGCGCTGAAGCCCACTCAACACTGGATGTGGTCCAAGTTGCTTGCAATGAACTGAGACCGGCACTCAAAGCTGCTTCTTCTCCAGTCAGGAGGATATCGTCCACGTACACGGACATGAGGCCAGTCCAGTGACATTCACCTGTTTCAAGGTCTACTTCTTCCAGTCGCCATAAGTTTTCGTCCGTGGTTTTGTGAAAGTGCCCACGGACTTTGCGATCATCTCGCATTCTCACCCAGCTCACTGCTGGCAAGGTCCGGTCGCGGTGCTTCGACCAATCCTTTGGAGAAGTCGTCAAGCCGTACATGGCCAGGCGAACCAACCATACCTCCCCTTCTTTAGCCAAGCCAAGCCGCTTGTAGACCGAAGGGATCTCCATGGCGAACAATTTCCCATCTTCTCTTCGAGGGGCATTCAAGAAAGCTACCCTGATATCTGTAGCAGCAACTGACCATCCCTTCAAAGCAGCTGTTCGGATCACCGCCCTCACTTGGCAGCCATCAGCTCCTCCTGCATAGCAGTCTGCATTGAACCTTGACTCTGAATAGTTTCCGCAAACGACTGCTCGGGCTCTTCGAACACCAGCTCCTGATTTGCGGGTGTAGACCATTTTTGCAGGGAGCAATTCAATCACTTTCCCTTCTTTCTCAGCTCGTTTTTGGAGATTCAGTTTGGTGATCTGTTCAACAGCTTCCTTGTTTCTCACCAGCTGATCATACTCTGCTGTGATCGGAGGGATCCAGTTTTCAAAGTCATCCATGACCTCCTTGGTGCTGAGTGTCCGGGTCACCAGGAACTCTTCTTCCAGCTCTTGTTGATGCAGCGCTTCATTATCATTTTGGTGTTGAAGAAGGTTCTCCTCCGCATCAACCTTTTGAAGGATTGCATTGGCTAAGGCTTCAAGACAGCACCCTTGGTCAGGATTTGTGATATCCACATGTTTTAACTCATCCCCCACATAGTCCGCCAGATTCGCCTGCATGGACCGAATGAGTTGGACCCTCGTGATCGGAGCTCTCCCAGGTGCTTGACATTGCAATGAGGCCACCAGGCGTGAGCCACCATCCTGGTTGTTAGGCGCCTCCTCCCACTCCCCTCCTCCGAGCGATTCCTCCTCCAGCGAAGCTTTTGCACCTTGGGAGGGTCCGTCACTCGGTGTCCCTTCATGGTCACTCGGCGTCCTCTCAGGCGTTTCAATCGTCCAGCTGTCGCTGCTGACGTCTTGGCGGAACAACTCGGGGTCGTTGGGTGCATGGACATCAAAAAGATCACGGTGATCACAAAGCCAATTTTGAACTCGAGCACTGGCCTCCCCCTCCATGTACAACATGGACAGCTGCGGAATTGCGGTTTTATCCCACAAGCGACGTTTGGGAACACTGCCTTCCCATTGGGGAACTCCGGGAGGGCGATCAAGCTCTGGAAGGTAGGCACAGACCTCCGCTGCCTCAGGTTGGTGAGCCATTGGGACCACAACATCATCGGTATAGAAGAACCGTTTGGTGTCGACAGACTGCACGTAGTAACTTGTGCTTGTCAACGAAGAGTGAATTGCTGGCCCCAAAACAATCACCTCATCCCTGATCTCTCGCCAGGGTTGGTAGCGATCCTGCCAGGACTTTTTCAGTGCAAAGGCTTTGGAGCCAAACTGAAGCATAGGTCCCACCGGCAATCCAAGATTTCGAAGCTGACCTCGAAGACGGCGTTCGCCGATGTGGATTGCAGCCAGTGGCCAGTATTCCAGCCCCAAACCTGTTGTTGCCACCACCGTCCTGACATGTTTCTTGATGACGCCAAGCTCACCTTCAACTCGACCGTTGGCTTTGAACGAGTCACCAGATGTCAAGGTGGTGACTATTCCCCTGTCCAGGGTCCAGCGGCGGACTGGGGCGGAGATCAACTCCCGAGCTCTGTCGCAGTGAATGCGATACAAGGGCAACCCCAAGGATCGAATCCTCGCGTAGATGCGAGCCAATGCAGCCAAGATATTGTTCACAGCACGTCCTGGAAGAACCTCCACGAAGGTGACATTGCGGACAGCGACATCTTGAGCTTCTTCTATTCTCTGCTGCCATGCTTCCATCGCTGCATGGCCACGTTTCACACCTGCTGCTTCTGCTGCGCTTTGTCCTGCCTCCCCCGGACCCTCTACATCTCCAGGCGCCCCATCCATCAGAAGTTCCTCCCCCGGGTCGTCACCCCCAGGTTCTGTAGGAGTGTACTCATCAACATCGATGGAAGGTGGATCATCCTGTTGGCTTGATGCCTCTGCGAACTCAACCAATGAGCGTCCAGAGCGATCCACCGGGAAGGTGTACACAGCAACCATCATGTACTTGCAGTCGTGCCTGTTCTGGTCTTGGCCAACCACCATTTTTCCAGACAGATCAATGCTCAACGTGTAGGCTTCAGGGTGTGTGATCTTGCGATGCGGCTTGCTGCGCGCAGAAGAACGGACGCAGTCCCTGCAATCTCTTCGTGCTGGCATATGATCATTGAGATAATGTTGACGCCAGCTCTCAAGCGCCACCTGTCCAACAGGGCGAAGGGCGGCCTCCAAAGAAGGGGTAGTTCGACGGTTGATGTGATCTTGCACAGCTAACACCAGCGCCACTTTCAGGCCCGGTGCCCAGGCAGCCCAGCCTTTGGAGTCTTCACAGCGCTCCCTCAGCGTCATGTTGGCTCGATCTTGACCTTGAGGATCAGGAGGATCTCCACTTGGTGGGCCTCGAACACCATCCAAGGCATGGATGTCACGCAGCACCACAGCCATTGACGTGGGCTTTTTCTTGATGTGGCCCATTGGCCCTTGATCGAAGTGGATCATCCGGACCTTGAAGTGTGCTTCAAATGATTGCCATTCTTTGGTCCGCCACACCGACATGAATTTCTTGACCTTCACTTCATCAGCCGGTCGATACCGTGCAGGATCTTCGGGTTGCTCAATGGCCAAGGCAGTCTGTGGCTCGTCCGGCAAGCGAACATCCTCGCACAACATATACAAGGCCAACATGCGGAACCAAAGCACACTATCACCAGTGACCAGATTCTGCTCCGCGGCTGTCAACGTTGGAACTCCATAGGGATACTCTTCAGTGCGAAGAACTCCAGGACCGCCATCATCTTGATACCTTAGGGCTGACACAGTGCGGCAAGGTGGACCCGCCAACAGCGCTTTGACTCGCCCCGATGCAGCCAAAGACAACAAAAAGCGGAACACTGCATCATCATGTAGATCTGCAGGGACATAGCCGCTTAGACCCACACACAGGACCTCGATGCCATTGCCAGCAATCTTCTTTTCCCAAAAACGATGGTCCGGCCCGGAGAACAAGTGGATGACAATGCTTTTGGCCTGTTGCAGTCGCCGACGTTTGTGGCGGTTCCAAGGGATTCGATGCCCTTCATTGACCTGCAGCGATGAGAGATCCGGAATGACCTTCATCAACACCTCGTCTGGAAGATCCGGAAACATCATCTTCATCTTCAGGGTGAGGGCCATTTCCGTGGAGTTCTTCACCGCCTCCAAGGACTCAGCTGATGAATCCACCAGCATTGACTTGAGCAACAGTGCCTTCCGCACCAACCGAACTTGTTGATGTTCTAGGCGGGCTATCATCTCTTGTCCCAACTGGCGAGTGACCATCGGACAGCCATGCTGAATGCAAACATCAAGCACTTGGCCTTGCTCATCCCGCAAAGAGCATCGACCGCCCTTCCACTCAAACCTGTAACCCAGCTCTGTGATGCCTCCCAGTGGAACGATCCAGGATTGGCTCATAGTGTCATCAGCCGGGTCGGATACCAAAATCTTGGAGTTCACCTTCAAGCGGAGTTTTGTAGCGACCCCGTCAGCTAAGGTGACCTGTGTAGGTTGTGCTGCAGCCCATTCACCTTCAGTCAAAGCCGGCCTCAAAGCGTGGGTTGCACCAGAATCCAAAAGCACCATCATGTTTTCGGCACCTGCATCCAGCTGACTGAGCTTGATCACCTTCAGCTGTGGTGCCCTCAGAGACTTAAGAAGCTTTGTGGCCTCTTGGAGCAAAGCTTCACTGGATGTTGTGCCAGTCTCGCCCTTGCTGCCATCACTTGGTGCAGGAACTTCCGAGGCGGCATCCACTGGACCTTCCATTTCTTGAAGCTTTGGTGCTGTTGCACTGCCACCTCCACCTGCAGCATTGTAAGACGTTGAAGGCGACGTGGACATTTTTGACGAGGACTTTCCTTCCCCTGAGCTGCTAGGCTCACTCTGGGATTTGCCTTCTTTGGATGGACCAGGTTTTCCATGTCCATGAGCTTTGATCTTGCAATCCGTTTTGCGGTGTTCTTTACTACCACAAATCCAGCAACGAGCATGTTTATCTTCAATGCCCTCCCATGAGTGGGACCATTTGCAACTCCTGCCAGCTTTGCAACCGGCGTCAGAACGAAAGTATCGACATGGGGTGGTAGATGTGGATGAACTCGTCACACCACCCTTGCCTTTGTCTCCGCCAGTTGATGTAGACGGAGGTGATTTGGCAGGCGCTTCCATCTGCTTGACCTTGATAGGAGAGGTGGTCACCACAGGAGTGCTGCTCATCAACGACAAGGTCTCCGCCTCAGCCAGTAGGCATTGGCTAAACCGCCAAATACTCTGATGGATGGGCTGTTGATCAATGGCCAACTGCAAACGACTTTGTGCCAGTCGAAAGGAAGCTTGAGCATCCAGCGAAGCCACCAAAGTACAAGCAGGCTCAAGAGCCCGCAACAACAGCGTTCCATCAGGCAGGACAGCATCGATCTCTTGAGCCCTAGCATAGTGACGACGCCAGGAGCGAAGAGCAGCTGCCAAATCTGTTGCTCCCACTGCCTTGTCCAAGGTCGTCAGCTTGGAGAGCAAAATCGACTTCTCTCCTGCACCACCAGGCTGGTAGCGCACTAGAAGCCGGAACAACAGGGCCGTGGAATTCAGCTCCCTATCCGTGATCAGCATCTGTTGCTGGTCCGAGGGGATTGCACGAAGCAGCAAGCTGTTCTGTGCGTTGGTAGCAGCCATCCAACAGCTCATCAGGGAGTCGTGGTGCGATTTGCACTCTCTCCAAAGGCGATGAGGTCTTCCACCGGTCATAATAGCACTGAGCCTCTCTCAATGTGAGATTCCACCAGCAAGCGCTGACCGCTGAAATGTCCCTCAGCACCGGCCCGCAAACCGCGAGCCAGTCGCCCAATTCAATGGGCGATGCATCAGCTGCCAACTCAGCCAGTTCAGCTTTGCTATTGTCAGCGCCCTCATGCCATGGAAGCGGTGGTGGTGCGGAGCCACCATCAGGGCGCCATCGACCGTAAGACTTGTCACCCCCATCTCGGGGATCAGAACCGGTGGGTCTTTCTCTATGGCCAGTGGCCCAAACAGCAGTGGGGTTTGCACTATCACCAGCACTTGAAACAGGATCAGGGCCCCATACAAAACCTTGACATTCCAAGGCGCTGCGCACACCGATGGCTTGTGGTGCCACCGGAATTTCAGCCGAGGAGCCGGAACTGCCTTGGATGCGACTCAAAGCAGCTTTCAGCTCCGTCACCTCCTTCTCCAAACGCTCGGCCCTGGGCTCCATGGTGCCAGGAACAAAAGCTCGGCCCTCCCGCACGCTAAGCGGCACCCATTGCGAGTCACCCCGCCGCTTGGCTTCGAAGAGCTCATAGTGCCGCAGCATTTCTGCCGAGTCACCACTAAATTCAGCCGAGACACTTGTTGGGAATGGTGGAACTGGTGGTGCATCTACCATAGAGGGTGGTGGACCAACTGGGATCTGTGTTCCATTGGGCGTATACCTCACCTCATAGGATGGATGAAGCCTTCGTGTAGTAGGGCTCCTTCCCCGCGGTGTGTGCATGGACGGTTCACCACTACCAGAACATGGGGGACCAACTTGACCATCAGGCTCAGCGGAATTCCCAACCTGAAGACCACTCCGAGGCACCCCATCGCCCCCGCCCCCATCCACCGTCTCCCAAGACGACGGAGTGGACATGGCGGCCGCCGCATCCTTGGTGGTGCGGAGACTCCGCAACTGGTCAACCTCCTCTTGCAGCTTGGCATTCTGTTCACGAAGAAACAAAACCATCTCAGCCTCAAAGGCGCGCTGCAAACTGTCAGGATCCCCCTTTTGAGGGGGTGGAACCGCAGCACCCGCGGCCATCGGTGGACCCCTTGGTGGTGCTCCTTCAGGTGGAACAGGGCCCATAGTCCGATCTCTTTCATGCCTGCGAGCCGCCTCTGCACTGGGCTGCTCTTCCGGCAACTTGCCCTCCGACCTTCGATTGCCTCCTCGGCCTTCGGACCGTCGACTTGGTGGGGTCACAAACAGGCGGCCCGTCGCTACACCGCGACCCTTGCCCACTCTGCCCGCTCCTCCGCCAGCGCTTTCAACCCGCGCTTCCTCCGGCCCAGGCCCGTCCAGGTCCTCATCAAAGGGGACTGGCAAGTTCTCCGGCCTTTTATTCCGGAGAGCCACTTCGTCGCGAAGCCGCTGCGACCACCATGGATTCACCAGGTCGTAACCCGGTGGGGATGAGCGAGATCGCTCCATGGCGCTCTAAAAAAGGCGGGTTGGGCTCATAACCCTCAACGATCGAAAACGACCACCTACGGGCACGCTTTTCTTCGGACAAAAAATGCCTTGGTCGTTCGGTGTTGTCACCGTCAAGTGTCCAACAGACCTGGAAACCATGCAAAGAAATAGGGCCAGACCGGGCCCTCCCCAAAGGACGATAATTTCCACTTTCGCACCAATCCGATACAATCGAATCTGACGGCTCCTCATAGCTTTTATGCTAATCCCTGTCTACTGCGCATCACTGGAATCTTTCTAGAGCCTTGATTCATGAAGGAAGCATTCGGAAGCATCTCTCAACAGGTCTTCTTCCTACCACCTACTTCAACCGACCACCCTGCCTGGCCCTGCCCTCCCCATTTGCCCAGCCAGTCCCTCAACTTCCAGCCTCAAAGTGCATCGGTGTGTATTTGAATAGGGAGACCCCCCGGCCTAATGGGGTATTTGGCCTTTGCAGTTTAGTACCTGTCCATGTGGGTGGTGGCCAATGGGCAGACTGGTCTATTTCCCGAACCTTCCAGGGGGTCGAACTGGGTATTGATTTTTCTTCATGCCGTTGCAGGATAGATATGGTGCAACGGTGCTAGACTTGGTCAATGATGACGTCAAATTCTACGAGGCGGCTCTTGCAAGGAAGGTAAAAGGAGATGCATCGACACTCTGCAGACTGCTAAGTTCAGTCAGTCGAAACCTTCTTGGACGACATTGATGACTTGTATATTTGGTAATTTATTTGGTATATGTTGGTATCATTTTGTGGTTTGCCCAGTCTTCCCTGTCGCATGAGATGATAGCATTGTGTTGTTTTTGTTTTTGATGAGGCGCAAAAGAGGAAAGAGCAAGAAGATTGCAGAAGGAGAAGCATCAGCTTTCTTGACCAAAGTGCAAACACTTTTTCAAGCCATCATGTGCCCTTGTGTTTGTCCAGGCGCCGATTAGCAATGGAGGTGTCCGGTCAGATCCTCTATGACAGGCTCGAACGATTGGAACAGATGCAATATGTTTTCTCGATCTAACACTAGTTTTGTCAGATCCGCACTGTACTCGGCGTGGCGTTTGCTGGAAGCTGGACAGGCCGAATGTGGAGGAGCTGGAGCCCTTTTGTGCTCCTTGACAGCCTTGGCCGAGGTTTTGCAGAAGGTTCTGAGGGAGTTGTGCAGCCCATACTGGGGTCCATACATGGTCAACATACGCAAATATGATCAAACATGGTTCCATGTCAGTCTTGTCAAGGCTATGGTGACCATATCCCTATTGAACTACCTAGAGTCAATTTGTGTGTTCTCATTTCTAGTAATGACAATATTCCAGGCTTTTGCCTCTTGGCTTTGAGATTGATCGCTGAAAAAGCAGCCTTTCCAGGATATGGACAAGCTTTACAAAGTGAAGAGTGCCTGACCCTAAGTTTGCAGCTATATGCTACTTGGAGCTACGCACGAATCCTTCTGCATCCACGAATCCGGTTGCTCATCTGACAGGTCTTGGAGGCTGCAGGGTCAAGGCGCTGTCATGAGAGCTTGGAGTGTTTCTTTCAGAACCACGTATATAGATCTATAGAGACACTTAGAGCTGTTCCTTTCTTGGATTTTCTTTCATCCCCGCTACTTGTGGCTTTTACTCCACCTCAGAACTGCATCCCGTGATAGGCCTGGAGAGAATCGCTTCAGGCCAGGATACGATTGAGGACGCTCCCAAGCGGCGTTCTTCCGGCCCGGCAGAGAGCGGACCAAAGCGATGGCTCCAAGAGCATCTCCTGTACAGCTCGTCATCGGGCATTTGTGCATAAAGCTACTGCTTTCCGAAGAAGCTGTGCCAAGGTTTTCACTTGCAAGCAGCTTCTTGAAAGTGTACTGCCAGAGATGCTGCTGGCTCTTCCGAACTGGCTAGTCTTCGAAGTTGGAGGGAAACATGTCGCTTCCAGTGCTGTGTGCTGAGCTGCAGTTTCCTCAACAATGCTACTGTAGTAAAAAAGAGGGGTAGAGATCAAGTCAATCAATCGTGCCCTTTCCGATGACAAGTGTTTTGACAGATTTAAAAGGTGACACAAGGTGAGTTGGGAGACAAGTTTCACAGTTGATGACAGGACTGAGTGCCCGCAGATACAAGAGTTGCTGATGTCATGTACTTCCATCGCTCACTTGGCAAGTGCTGGTCCATCAATGCTGCAGGTGAAGCAGCAAATCTTAGTGCTCGGGCTGAAGGTGAGTCTGCAAAGTTTCCGGAAAACAGCGGGCTATGTTAAATGCCCTCATCATGGAGCGCAAAGAGCACCGGAGAGATTGTTGTTCTGATCTTGAGCAAGTAATAACGCTTCCCTCAGTGAACATCTTGGCATGTTTCATCTTCATTGGTGAAAGTAGAAACTATCCAATGTCAATGTTGGATCAACGAACTCCTTTGATGATAAGATGCTTCATGCTTCCATGCATCAAGAAGGCTGTTCTTTTGCAGCTGTTCTTCCGCAGGTTTGGGCTTTCCACCTCCTCAATTCGAGGGGTGAGGTTCCAACCAAGGAGCAACCGGACGTGTCGTTTTCAGGAGGGTTGTATTGATGATGTCTCATGTTAGACACATGAATGTGCATGTCACGTGCTGGCGCAGCGTGATGCGTTGGGTTCAATCAGGAGACTGCCTCAGTTTCAGAAGGCAAGGACGCAGGTGCCAGTGCAGAACACGATGTTATTTTTTGGGCAGCTGATGAGCTTAAACAAGCCTGAGAGCATTGTAAGCAGGCATTCAGCTCACTGAATGGTACTTTTTGCAGATTGACAAGGCTTCAGGTCAAAACGCAGATGGCAACTGAATATTCCTTCATTCCTTCTTATCTTGTGAATACCGCAGTCTATTTAGGCCATTCACACTCAAAGATATTGCTGACAGCGGTGTATGCGGCGGCGAAAGTAGCAAGGGCCAGCAGAGCTTAATCGTGGATTTTGACAGGCACTGCCAAAGATGCAGCTCCTTTACCGAACGTGACCACTGAATCTTGACTTCACAGAAAATCAGATAGTCAATTACTTACACCTGCTTGGTGCGTGTGACGACCCCACAACACATCTTGCATGGAACCAAGTGCAGCTTTTGTCGCAATGGATGGTCTTTTTTTGTTTGTCTCACATCAAAGTGAGTGCATATTCAACAGTTGGGCGAGAATGAGGATGAGTCGGAGAAACTTCTTCCGAGATTAGAGGCAGGAGTCTTGAGGTCTACTGTGCTCCTTGATGGTCTGATTGATTTATATACATGTCTCTTCATAAAATGGTGGCTACATCCATTTCGAGGAAGCATTGAAACTTGAAATCACAAGTGGTAAGTGGGACAGCCAAAACACTTCTCATCCAAGACAAGTTGTGGAAGGCCATCGTCGACCACATGAGCAATTTAGCCTCCTTCGACACTTCTTGGGATGTGCGGGATACAGTCAAGGGCTGAGATATGCTGAGATACGACAATCATTCATCACTACTTGGCACATTGAGCACAGTCACTACTGTAAGTAACTTTTTGAGATTGCTGCCGCGAGTCTCCTGAGCAATGAGGGATGTATACTACATGTTGATTGCAGTCTTGTTCGAAGAAGAATTAAGTATGACATAATATGACAAGGGGATCAGAAGCAAACAGATGCAAATAGTGCCAGCAAATGCCACCAATCTTGAGTTTTTTTTGTATGTTATACCATATTTTTCCAGTCTTTTTGGGAAGTCAAGGCCCGTGCGCTCAAGAGCATCAAGGAGTCTGCCAAGGTGCCCCGTTGTTTGGCAACTCTTCGGTCTTCATGCTCCAACTGTCTACCATCTTGTGATGGAATCAGTGACAAGGTAGATGTTTAATCCGCGTGATTTGCACCATGTTTCACCCATAGAGGGGCAGAGGGGTTGTTTGATGTTGCTGGTTTCTGAGCCTAGCTCTTGCATCCTTCTTGTGCCTGGCAAGAGTTCTGGGATTCCGGCGCCTTCCTCGCGACCTAGGCGGCTCTCAGCTCCGACGCAGCTGCGACTCCGCTCGAGCAGATGGGCCTTTGGTGCGCCGGTGGATGGTATTGGTCCTATTGGTCCTATTGGTCTAACCGAGTCTATTGGTCTTCTAATGGGAGGTGGGGTCCATTTCTTGAAAGACCTGTGGTACGGTCCAGTGGGAACTAGAACATCGCTGGAACCGGGTATCCTTGGCATAGTTGATGGCTGCATCACCACCGCTAGAGATGAGCTTGCACGAGGTATTGCCGGGCCTGCATCAGTGGGACACCACCGCTGGATGGTTTGCCAATCCAGTGTTTCTTCAAGCATGCACTGTTTCACCGCTCATATAGCGCAGAAAGTGTTTTGACATCCATCATCAACTTGACACGTTTCATGTCATTTCATCATGAATTTTCTTCTTGGTCATTGTTCTTACCAAGTTTACGGGTGCGCGTGTGCGTGTGTTCTACTTGATTGGCGTCCCCCAATTCTGTCTTTGCATCGGCCACGGCCAGCTGCTGGCTTGGATGAGAAAAGTGAAGATGGACCCAGTAAGGCGTGTCACCGTCGCCACTGTCCCGTTCTTCTAAGAGCGATGGCCTCCAACCTGATAGCTTCTTGTTCCTATTAGTAATGCCCTTTGCTACTAGCTTCTTGCTACTAGTAGTATATAATGCCAGGAGCTACTGGGAGCTTCTTGTTACTAGTAGTAATGGCCTCCAACCTAAGGACGCGTCGGCTGGAGCATGTGTCAGGTGGCCATTGAATCCACCTGGATGATCGGCTCACTTGCTCAAGCCTCCGACTCAAGACACCCAAGAATTTGTGCATTTCTTCTCGGTATCCTCGTCGTTTGTTTTTGAATGCTACTGTCCATAGGCCCAAGGGCCGTGTCAAAACGCGGTTTTAGTCTGAATTATGGACGTGTTGTTCTGACGGCATCGAAGTCCCACTTCGATGGGACCATTGGATCACCTGTCTCAAGGCCTTGGACTTCCCACTGGAGTCTTACCGCCCGCTGCCACCTTGGGCGGAGGACACTGGGCCATCGAAAGCCGGCCAAACTGTGCGGACATCGAGTCTCATGTTGTGAACCCAATTTGAACCCCAAGCGGTGTTGATCCAGTGCTTTTTCTCAGCATAATAACATCCTGTGATTTACTATGATTTACTGTAAGACTTATTTGAGTTGCTTTGCCAGCTTTAACGCTCCAGCCAGGAGAATAGCTCCGATGAGCTGAGGAAAGTTAAGGTGGGATCAAGATGATCAAGAGCGATCCTACTAGAATGAACTTTCGCGAGATTCTGACATACGACATGGAACTTGTTCTCCACCACCACTCCACTACTAGTTTTGTGCCAGGATGTATCAGCAGAGAAGGCTCGCGAAGCGGCACCAAAGAGCATCTCCTCCTCAACAGTGGGCAACGTCTCACACATGGACAGCGGGAATATGTGCTTCAATTCCTGAGGGAGATTTGATGAGGTGCATGGAACGATTTACGAAGAGGTGCGATAGACTGGAAAGTTGATGGTAAGGGGGGCCAATAGGTTGTGAAGCGGGTCACTGTCCCCATTCCACTTGCGCAGGAGCAGAGAGTGCAGCTGCCTTCCAACATCAACAACATGCCGGTGGTACAGAGTTTGGAGGACATGACTCTGAAGACAAGTCATGGGACCTACGTTGTCCGTTTACGGATTGTTTTGGACAAGACAATGGCAGTGAGGACCTCGACCTGTTTTACAGTGAGGTTGAGTGCTGAGCTAATTTCTGCACCAGGTGTCACTGAATACTATATCATATCATATCACACCATATATCATATGGTCTTATTTTTGAGGCAGCTGCGCTTCTGACCTAGTAGGTGGTACCTCACAGATGTCAACTACCAAGTTCAGGCCCCACCACCTCCAGCTCGATCGCTTCAGTCGGCTCTCAGTGAATGACAGTTGGAAAGCGATGTAACATGTAGACTTTGTACCGCAGTTTTTGTCGTCGTGTGTGTTCATTTGTTCTATCGTTTAATGGCTTTTAGCCTTCTGCTGTGCCTTTGCTTCAGGCCACAACCAGCAGCAGCAGCCAACCCTGCAACTTTAGAGCAGGTTGTCGGGTTTGGGTACAGCAATCATTTCAAGACATTGAAGACTCGGAAATGGGCGATCCTTTTCACAGCTCCCCTCGTGATCAGCACATCTTCAGTGCAATTTGCAGCTTTTATTTGTCCTTGTGATCAAGCTTCCCTTGCAGATGCGTCTCGCTGGGTCTGTGGCGGCGGTGGGCACAGCCGTTTGTGGCGAAGACGATGAATCCGATGAAGAGGCCAGCAGAGAAAAGGTGTCGAGGGTGTGAGATTTTGCCATGTCTCAGTATGTCTCAGTGATGCTGTCCCCAAGGCAGAAGAAGATGATGATGATTGGAAGTATTGCCAACAAGCAATACCTTCATCCTCAACTGCGAAAGACTTGGATCCTCCAGCCCCACAAGCTGCCGAAGCGCCAGTGGCCCCTATGATACCTACTGAAGTGCCTCCACTGGCGGCTGAAGCACCTGCCACTGAGCCCGTCCCTCCACCTGCACAGCCTGAGACGCTGGATGAATCAATGTCCTAGCAGGTCCCAGAAATGCTGCAGCTTTGCCAATACCATGGGATCGAATGAATCAACGGTGCGAAGCTTTATGGGGACCTGCAGTTTGGTCTCTTGCGACGAAAGCGTGCAGGGAAAAAAGGATGTGAGATGTGAGAAGCAATTAGAAGATACGAGAAGCGGTTCTTTCGAGTTGGACACCATTGGACCAACCTTGGTTCTTTCATGTTCTTTCGAGGCACGGTTAATGTGAATAGTCTTTGAACAGTCTGATACTCTCATACTTTGATCGTTGTTGATCGCCACCACACTACAGACTGAATCTGAACTAACCAAACTGTTATCGACTATTGAGCCATATCGAGCCATGCGTTTCCAGACCGCATGGGTCGATTGCAACGAGCTTTGAATGTCAGTGGGACAGATTACAGATCTAATGGGGCTTAGCTCAGCTTGCTACA